ACTGTTGTGAAGGCAAATGCCCTCAGGGACTGGCTGCCAAGGAAAGCAAGGAAAAAACTTCAAAGAGCATGAGGATTTAGTGCTTTCAAAAGTGCACTGCTGTCAGCACCAAGGCAGGGTGAGTCAGAGAGCAAGGACTGAGTGGGCATGGACAAAGCAACAGTCCCCACCAGAGAGCGATCCAACAAGAGACAGATCAGATTGCTTTTGCATCACTGGGGATAAACCCCCCAGCATGCCAACTGCAGGGATACCCCTGTGTAAGCACAAGCAGGATGGCACACACAAACCGTAACAGTGACAGCCCTGTGCACACAGGCTGCTAATGGCCTTCCTGAGACAAGCTTCTCCCTCCGAGCTGGTCTGGTGATGCCTGAGCCTGGACTGACATGCTCTCATTAACTGGCAGTCTTCCTCCTTGTTTAACAGGAGATGGTTTCCTGTCCTCCTGACCCCAAATGACACCTTAATCTACAAACGGTGACTTTCCCTAATTGTACCTTAACAGAGAGAGAGGCAAACTTGCCCTTCCCCCTCCAAGGACTGTTATGTAATTAACAGGCAGGTATCTCTCAGGATTTACAGCCCAGCTCTGAACTGCTACTCTCCCTACTCGGTAACTCGGGCCTATGAAGCCTCACTCCATTTATCTCTGCATTTTGGTAACCACATTTCTGCTAATCCCTCTCTATACCACCTTTCTGGATTTAACTCTTATGGACCCATGCAGAGAGCAGTTCATCAAATGAACAGCTTCCATCTCACTTTTCAGTCACTTCCTGGTTGCTGATCTCAAATGTCTGTGTTGTAGATGGCTTCATAGCAGAGCGATACCTATGCTGGCACCATTACCAGTTTCTAGTTTAATCCAACTCTCGTATCTGTCCTACAGACATGACCAGAGATAGCACACATGAAAGAGAGAGATCAGAATCAAAGACACTGGGTCTGGCTAGATATCAAGAAGCATTTAGTCTGTTCCTCCTTCACAATCTGGGATCATCTCTCCACAACCTGTTCTTGACATATGTTTTCTAACAGGTTCTTTAAAAAAATCCAGTATTGGAGACTCCTACAAATCCCAAGCAATCCTTTCCAGTGCTTCCTGCCCTCCTGTTAGATGTCTGAGAGCAAGGGGGAGAACAATGTTGAAAAATCATCTTGCACATCTTGCCCAGATGGACATAGCTTCTGGCACTTGGGGCCATACCATCTGTCCTGCTGGTCATGAGGAGCAGACTCATTTTACATTGGTTGTGGTTTTGTTTCCATGGTAGGTGAAGGGGTAGCAAATGGTGTCTGTCCCCTACAACTGTTTTTGTGGAGCATGCTAGGATCTAGCAAAGTCCAAAGAAAACTAGTGTATTCCTGAATGTGAGTGGCTGAAGGTCAAACCCAAGACCCCTGGATTTTGATGCATGGATCAATAGTCTCTGAGTTAACAGTCATATTTTGAGAGCTCATCTTAGGGATGGTGTGACTATTTCAGATCAAGTACAGCTCAAGTGAATGTAACAACCAGATGATCTGCATTTAGGTGCTCACAGCTATATGTGCAAGTGAGCACTTGTGCCCTCACCTTTGAGTTGGAAAGACCAGTGCTGCCATGAGATTGCCCATGCAAATTGCCATAAATATCTCTCTCTTAGCAAACGGGTACCTAAATCCCTTAATGACTTGATAGAGAGGAGACCACATTAAACAGCTGGGCAGTTGCTGACTAGGTGCATATTCCACATCTGACAATAGTCAGGATCTCTGCAGATTTGGTGTCTTCTCCAGCTTTGAGACTCTACAGTGCCAGAGGAAGTGTCCTGCTGAGCACCTCCAGTGACACCGTGTATAAATTGGCCTTCTGGACAAATGTCACTGGCTACTCAAAGGACATGAGACATCCAAGGACAACTGAAATGGGAACTGGCAGGAACTACAGAGGAGATCTGCTTCAGCACATCTGTTCTTTAGTAAAGCCTTGTCTTTCAAACCTCTGCCCCTCTCCAGTAAAAGTAATACCTGGGGTCAAATTGGGGGAAGGAACAATTGGAATTCATACAATTAGTGTAGAACCTACAGTATAACATTCTGCTAGCTAAGGCTGCCCAGCCTGTTACCAAACAACGCACAGACAGTGTGTGTTACATTAGTTGGAAGAAACAGGTGTGGTAGTACTGACTGCACTTAATGTCCTGCTCTTTCACCATCACTGAGCATTTCTTAGTTCCTAAATCTCTCCTACCCACCCATAGGCTAGAAAGCAAAAGGGGAAAAGGGCTGGGCTGCGGAGGAGGAGACACCGAAATGCACAGACAGCACCCTGGTACTTCAAGAACTGTTGTCACTGCAATTATCCATGAGAGGTTTTATCCTGAACTTGCAGAAGTGGAACTAAAGCCCAGCGAAGAGTAACAAGAGGCTTCGGGCCATGTTGGCAGTCAGAAGCAGAACTCTGAATCTCTAGAGTCAGCTTCGTCCGGCTGTGATCAAAGACCCTGAACGAGGCTGCATGGTGTGGGAGAGGATAGAGAGGGAGTATAGCTGTTCCACAGCGAGGAACTCACTGGGAGTCTTCTAGGGAGCTGGCATTGCTGCATCCACCATAGTTGAGCAAAGCTATAATGAATGATGAATTAAGCCCAGTCGCAGAATTCCCTTTGATCAGCCCTTTCTGCTGGCCTGACCTGGTCTGGCCTCTCCATGGGACAGACCCGCCTTTTAGTTAGCACTAATGCAGTCCCCCAAAATCAGCAGGGCTGGAGAGAAGTCACTCAGAGGAGAGACCTGACTGCATGGACAGCCAGGGAGTCACAGCTCTCTCTGAAGACCTCATTTATCACTTGGTTCAACCTGGGCAAATAAAGAAGAGAAGAAGGAGGAGGAGAGTGAACACCAAATCTCAGCTAGCACTACTCAGAGCTCCTTTCCACTCCACTGCAGACCTGGGAGCAGCAGCAGCTGGGATTGCAAAGGGTATTGATGCACAATACAAGCAAGTTTTACACTGGAGCATGGCAGAGGCAGAGGACTGGCTGCATGCACATATGAGATTTTCTAGGGAAATGTATACAATGGCTCACTGCACACAGTACAAGTGGAGCCATCTCTGGGTAGTCTCTGAGGTGCTGGGCAAGAGAAGCCACATTCAGACATGTTAACTTACTGCATCTGTAATGCTTCCCACTTGCTTTTGAATTTGTGGGAAAGCCAGCATGCCTGGGCCACCAGGACTACCAGCTGTGCAGGGAGGATCGTGAGACAAGGGACTGCCCCAAGTCATGACTCTGAAATGTTCCTGGGAATGGGATGGCTACTTGCTCTTTGGCTGGGAAAAAGAAAAGCTTCCAGCTTAGGGCTTAGAGAAATAGAGGCCATACCCTTAAAAAAATTACTGAGAAAGAAACAAGAACTTCAAATCTGAATCTGTCTGCCCAGTTCCCCTTCAGTTCATGGCTGCCATGGTTTGTTCTCCACCATGTGGGAGGCATTAGGTCCTACTGAAAAATGAGCTAAACAGTTCCCCTCAGCGCTTGAAGCTTTACCAAAGCCAGTTAATCATACTACCGACATCCACCCAGGCTGGGGCTCTCCACTTCTGTCCTCTGCCAAAAGGTGACACAAATGCACACACATAGATATGATTTTTTTTCCACTCTCAATTCCACCAGCAAAAAGATGTCACCAGTGGCTATTCTGCCAACATGTGGGAGCTGCCCATCTCTATTTCACCCCCTTTGCCACCCTTTGTTCCTGGAGAGATGTGGTAGCTCCACCAGCAAGCATCTCATGAAGGAGCAGGATGATCTCTACAGGCCAAGCTTACATCTTGTTGAAAGCAGAGTGGTGGCAACAGTGGGAGGAACTGGCCTGGTTTTTGACAGGCCCAAGTCCTGTGCTTGGAAGGATGCTAAAGCCGAGAGCCATTTGAACCTGGATACCAGGGTGTGTAGCCCAGACCTCTGTCTCTGCTACTGAGTTTTACTTCTGTACCCCAATTTCACCAACTGCTTCTCTGTGATGTAGTCTGTCCTGCTCCTCCCGAGGGCTGAACTGGGGGCTGTGCTCCTTCCCTCTGGAGAGGCTCTACCCACACAAACACATATCCACCAAGTCAAGAGGACTGCCTTGTCCCACTGAGCTTCTGGGAGGTTCCTTCTGTCTTTATACCAATGATGGGAGGACCCAAAGATGAAGAGCTCTCTGGGACCCTCTTTGCTTCCTGTCAGGGTCACCTGAACTGATGTTATATGGTGGCATGTGCTTGGGTGAACACTGCTCAGGAGCATCTTTGGAGAGGCTGGTGTTCACTGGACTGTTCTGGTAACCACCGCTTTCTCAACAGCCTGGCTGGTGAGTGCCTCTGCCCATAGGTGTTGTCAGCTACATCCCCCCATCTTGCAGACCTGCACTGGGGCTACAGCTCAAGCTCTCAGGGAGACCCTGCTGTGTCCAGGCTGTCAGCATCTACTTTGCTGTCTGGGCTTGCTCAGTGTGAGGCAGTTACATCCTCAGAGCCCCTCTGTACCAGGCTGGGCCATGACCTGGGCTGGCTGGGACTTGCAGCTCCAGGGTGGGCCAAAGAAGGGGTAGCCACCCCTGCCCAGCAAAGAGACTGGGCTGGAGAGACAAGGAGTTGCATGTGGAGAGACCCTGCCATACCCAACCATGGGGCAGTCGCTAAATTATCTGTTCCAGAAAGGAAGGAGTTTCTCAAAAGCTTTACACACCCCAGCCTTACACTCCTCTTCTTGCTCTGAAGAGCGATTTGTGTCCCTCTGGGGTTGCTGCAGGTCCCTCTGCCAGCCCAGCCAAGGAGACACTCTAGGGCTGCCCAGATGAGCAGGGAGGACTCTAACAAAGGTGCTGTGCAATCAAAGAGGAGGAAAAGCCAGGGAGACTCAATCTGAGCCGAGCTGTACCGGTCAGCTCTCCATGCCATCTCCCACTCCTCTCCGCGGGTGAGCGGGTGGGCGACCTCGGCCATGCCATGACATACAATCACCCACCTATACAGACAATGTCCATGAAGCCGTACATTCCATAGCAGATCTGGAAGAGCAGGTCCTGGCGCTGCCATTTGGCTGAAGGACTGAAGGTCGACCAGATGAGCCATGAGATACTGGCGATGAGGAAGAGGGAACCCAGGATGGCCGCTGCTATCTGAACCTTCTCAATGACTGTCAGAGAGATGGCCTGCCACTGCAAGGGGAGGCAATGGGGAAGAGGAGAGGGGACAAGGGGGAAGGAGGAAGGAAAATGAGAAAAGATTAGTTACTTCGGGCACACTGCTGTTTTGCATCATTGTGGTAGTTTTGGAGATCTCAAAGAGCACCTATGAGCATAAATGCTTTTACCTGGTTCACATCTGAGGTGGAGGCATGGCAGTTGTTCAACAGTGCATGGCCCCAACTCCTAAAGAGGCAATGGGGAGGAATCCTGCATCTCACCAGGAAAGCACAGAGACTTGAGGGAGGCAGGATGAACTGGGGGCAAGACACCAAAAATAACATCCCCATGACAAACCAGGACATTCAGTTGCTCCCTCAAATAGAGGGCAGGCAGCATGCTCGACCAGGACATCCTATTACCATGAGAAGAATTGTCTCAGTGAGCCAAGCTTTCCTTTGGAGGCCTCCCATGAGCTGGCTCTGCGCCACTTTGTGAGAGCTGACAGGATCACAGCACTAGGTAGGATCTCACAGCAGCAGCGCGCATCCCACAAAACTTGTTACAAACAACACAAGTTGCTGTGGTCAGGACACCCTGCCTTTAGGTGATGACACGTTCAGGCTGTGTTCCAAGGTAAACGTCAATGCTTCTTCCTCAGAAGAAGAAAAAAATAGAAATAACTCCCCCAAATCCATTCACTATGTCAAATAGCTTTGTATAAGATACGGTATAAATATCCTAAACCTGGACTCCTCTCTGTCATCCATCATAAAACCTCCTCACTCAGATTTACACTGCTGAGAGAACTGCCCTGTAAAAACCAAGAGAGAAATAGCTTTCTTTAACAAGACTTGGGGACATGGTCCATAGCCCCTCCTGCAAATCAGACATCAAATGCATAAACAGGCTAGGGAGAGACAGTCTCTCCTGGCATCACAGTATATAGGCCACCTTTAGCTGTGAGATGAAATCTCAGTGGGACTGGCAGAAGGATAAATAAAGGCAGATGTCAACCTCTTACAAGTATAGAGGATTCACAGTAATTGAAAATGTTTAGTCTGGATTCAGCCCAAATACGGTGTCCTTGTGAAGTGGCATCTCTGGCGAGCCCTCAGCACCCTGCACATTTGTCAAACATACCCTGGGATGGCAGGGTCACCTGTCAAGCCTTGTCCCATTCCTTTGCAGGGCAAGAAGGGAGTGCAGTTGCTGGGTCCCGTTTTAATGCCCAGGCCAGCCAGGAGTTATCAGTGTTTTTTTGAGAGGTAGGGAGGACTTTGAGCCCTGGTCAAAGGGTAAGAAGAACAACAGGTGATTTGTGCTGGTTACAGGGCTGCATGGCATTGCTACCAGTCCAATGACCAAACCTCAGAACTGAATGCACTCCCCTGCAAAGGGCTGCCTTTGGAGAGGAACAGATGACAGCTTCAGCCTGATGCTGAGGTCTGTGGGTTGCAACTGGAAGGAGATTGCCTGGCTTGGCTCAGACACGAGCTGAAGTGTCTGCCTCTGCCAGCCTTTGCTCCTTGGCTTATATCCTGCAAGGGCAGACAGCCCTCAAATCATTATGTCAGGGATGTGCAGTATCAGTGAGGTCCGTGGTACCAGCTTATTTCATAGCTGGCCACAGAGTAGATGGCCATAAAGCTGCTGAGCAGAGAGAGAGCTTGTTCCTTGCTGAAGCAGGACTGGGCTCAGCTAACCCTAGTCCCCTTACTGGACTTAGCTAACCCCAGTCCCCTTCCTGCCATCCGCTCCAGCAGCAGGCCCAGCCAAAGGCAAACACCAAGCACTGGGGACACTCAGAGATCTCTTCAACAGCCCATTACCACTCTGCCACAGCCCGACCTGCCCAATGCCTCCACCAAATCCAGCCACACAAGTGGCCCCTTTGTGCCATGAAGAAGTTGAGGTAGTGAACAGCCCTGGTCTTAGAGCTGGAGGCTTGGTGGTGCCAGCTGCAATGGGTCAAGGCTAGATGAAGGGGTACTGGAGAGCACAGAGGATGCACAGCTGTGAAACTCCTCTCCTGACATATGACAGAGCAAAGGCCACCCAGCACCCATCACCCCCAAATTTGGGTTCTGAGGGTGGGATCAGCAGCTATGCTGTCCTCCCATCAGCTCTTCAGCTTTGTTCTCATCAGCACCATAAGCAGATGCAGGACAAATCTGCAATCGGTGCCATCAGCTCAGAGCTCGAGGACTAGAGGCACTGGCAGGGAGAGGGTTTGGGTACATGTGTGGGATTGCATTTCCAACCCTGAAGCAATCACGGGACCTCATCTCCCACTGATTCTGGCAAACACTGAGGGGACAGGAGAGCACGGAGCTCAGTGCACAGCCTGGTGCTGTGTGAGAAGGTTTTACTGCAGGTCCCTCATGCTGACCCGTGTGTGCCTGTGCCAGCCAAATCATTCTGCATCATTTCTCTCTCGAGAGGAGGTAATGGACTGGCTCCTCACCATCTGTCTGGCAAACTACAAGGCCAGTGGTGGCAACAGGTCCTTCCAAGGTAGCAGTTAAAGACAGAAAAAGAATAAGGAGCTGTTTTCTACAACTTGCAGCCACATACAAGCAGCACCACTGCTTTGCAGAGACAGGGAGGCTTAGGTGGCGTACTAAATGTACTGTCAGAGGGCATGGGGCTCGGAGCACAGAGAAGTTACACTTGAGTACAAACTTCAAGCCCTGCTCCCTTCGGTTGGCAACAGAGAAGCTGAAACACAGACAGGGATGCTCCCTGACGCTGCTCAGCTGGCAGCAGCTGCTGGGAAGTTCACTGCAGCGATAATGAAGAGGCTGGAGTCCGTCAGCTGTGCCAGGGGGTAGGAGCCTCTCCCCCAGCATGTGGCACTAAGTGACAGTGACACACACAGCAGCAGTCCTGACTCTGTTCAGGAGGTGGCACTGGGGTGTGATTACCCTCTGGCAAGGAGGTAAATGGGTCAGAGCTGAACACTGGGGAAAATAACCAGCTTGCAGAAGAATTTAATATTTTCCAGGAAAAAAAAAAAAAAGTAAGTAATGTGTTGTATTTCCTCTCTGGCAACCCTGAGAGCTGCAGTTTAGCATCCCACAGCTAGCCCGAGCCACCAATAACTGGAGACATTATTTTTCATCTTTTAATTTCATTTTGCTACATGTCTTAGGATATGAGGTTTGCACAAAGAGAAGGGGTGAGACAGGGGATAAAGCATGTTACCCAGTGAGAGCACAGACATAAGGATCTAAATGCTGTCCAGAGGTGGAATGTGCTGATGAATTTCAGCTGCAGGCGCTGGGCCTGATGTGTCCTTGCACTGGTGGCCTTGAGAGCCTGCCTCAATCACAGCACTGGGCCTTTCAGATTTCATAACAGCCCTTAGAAAATAACCCATTTTCCAAACCCCTCTCCACCATCATTATGGCCAGCAGACCAGTGATTTGGTAGGTGACCCTACTATCCTTGGGTCACTGCTAGAGCTGCAAAGAAAGGTCTCAGCAATGCTGCAGAGTGCCTTTACCAGAACATCTGAAACCCCCAAAGCTTTTTGTCTGAATGCTCAGCTGCAGACCCAGCCCCCTCCCTCCAAATCTCCAGCTCAAATGTTCAAGCTCTAGCAAGGTCACAGTGTCAAGCAATCCCACCTTGCAGGGAGAGACCTAAAACTGAGCCCTTCTTTCCTCAGCTGATAATGACTGTTGAGTCCCAGGTAGCTGCTGAGCTGTACTGAAGTGCACCTTTAACAACCGGCAGCTCACCCAGGTTGTCAATCAGGAATATGACCTTTAGGCAGGTAGAAAGCTCTATAGATGCTCTGCCAGCACTGAACAGGACAGAACTAAGGACTTGGTGGTACCAGAAAGCTTTAAAGGCTCTTGCAGGATAACAGGAGCAGCTTTGTGAACTCTGGGCTTACAATGGCTTCAGAGCATGCCTAAGCAGCTCTCTGCAGTGGCTTGCCACCTGTACTAGAAAAAGGGCTCTGTCCCTCCAGACCATTTTTCAGAACTGTCCTCATTCACTCAGGAGCTGTCTGTCCTCTGCTGCCAGCCCCCTTGATCGAGTGCTTTGGCACACCGTCCAGATATGCACGTGCAAGACACCACACACTCTTGGATTGATTCTCCCCAAGTTTCCCTGTTTTCCCCAAACTGCAAAGCTCTACGACCCAGATGCCTCACAAATGGTTTCTTAGGAGCCCAGGTCTGACATTTGTGATGACCTTAGCCAAGGTTCCAAGCAGGGACCAGTGCCTGACAGTCATGTCACTCTTGTTCACTTGGACTGTTTCATGACCTATGTGTTATACTTGGGACAAACCTGTTTCTCTGTTTGCTTCAGTGCTTCTGCTCAGAAGCTGGTGAGTGAAAACTCCCGCTGCTAATGTAACACAGATTAATAATGTCATTACTATGGTATTTAAGGCCTGATATGTATCTTCCTTTCTTTGGCACCATCAGTCTCCTAAGGTTCCCAAGCACCAGCACAAGCAGATCCAAGGCAGATATTTGCCTGCAGAAGATATCTATGTCTTACTGCAGCAGCTTGCAAAGAATACTTGCTAGCTGGAAAAGCCTTCCTACACTCCTCTGAGAGCTCCCCCATGCCTGCCTCAGGCAGTTCAGTTTATTTTTATTGCTGTATCTGACACGTCCCCTTAGTATGTATCATTAATATCCTGAGCTGTGCTATTCAGCAATTTAATTTTCGGGCCCAGGATCACAAGCAAGATGAGGTTTTTCCTAGAAGGTTGGAGTGGACCATTCCCAGTACTGCTTAGGTCTGGCTCTCCCCTTGCTGTTGTCCCAAGGCCCTGGCCATCTTCCTCAATTATCTTTTGGAGGATGGCTTTTCTTTTTATAAATTCACCAAAGAAAGTTACGCCACAGCTGTGATACTGTGAAACACTGCTGTACATTTGCAGATGCTGTGACTTATTCAGATACTAGAAAGGCAGCAGGGAGGAAGGAAAGTCCACTATGGCCATGTAACAGAAGAGTGCAGTGATGACACCCCCTCTCCTCCATGTGCCAGAGTATTTGGTAAAACTCAGGCTACAGTATCACTATCCTAGAGAGCCCCTGTTATAAGGCAGAGGCCATGAAATCTCTCTTGCTGTGGTTGCACCCACTGCTTGCAGGCTGCAGGCTGCAGCTGGAGCTCAGCAGGGACCAGCCAAAACTCAGCACAAGTGATTCAGCAAGTTGGGACAACCAGGAGACAGCAGTGAACTTGCCTCAAGCTTTTTAGATCAGGAGCTCAGGCTGAAGTTCAAACATCCTGGGACCTTGGCCACTTTTCTTGCAGATGCTGGTGTCCTGATGAAGAGACCATATAAACACTCATCGGCTCTTAACAGACCATCACTACAGGCACAGTAGAGCCAGAGGAGAACTGGGACCAGATTCCAAACCCAGCACTGGATAACTGAGGATCTTTGAAGCTGAAACAACCCACAAAGGAAGAGTCAAGGCTAACAACTGCAAGGCAGAGTTGAACTCCCCGAGACTGCAGGCAGTTGTACGGCTGGGATGGGTGGTTCAAACAGATTTTCTGTTTGCTAAAATCAGAGCATCAGAGTGGATGTGGCTCAGGAGCAGCTACAAAGGATCTGTATGATGAAATCCACTGTGGAGTCCCATCTGCAGATAGCTACTCCACTGTGTATCAGCACGAGGGTGCCTGCAGTACTATCATGTGCTTCTAAACCCCTGTGTCTTCAGGGCTTTTTTAAAATCATGAGCTTTGCACAAATATTGCAATGGAGAGGAGCATTTAAATCCTTCATGCCCATGGCTCCTGTCTCAGTGACTGGGAGACTGGAAAGCAGGAGGATGGATGGATGGATACGAAGTATGGATGGTCAGACAAAATTTCTGGATCTTCTGGTTGCTCACAGCTGATGAGATGCTTTTATTCATTTGCTGCCTGACTGCTGCTTGACAGGACACCTGCCATGCTGTTCAACAACTTTAATCTCCCAGTATCAGCAGGTTTGCAGTGTTGCTGCTTTAAGACTTTTGCTCTTAAATGCATTCAATCCAGGGATGGGGGGGTGGTTAATTCATAGAGATTCATTCTGCCAAAATACCAGACTAAAGGCCTCTCTCTGATATGAGACATCATAACAGCCTGGAGGCTGGAAGGAGTCTGTGTTAATTATGCATGAACCATGTTCCCCCGGCTGTAACTTCCCTGCCCACGCCACGAGTCTCCACACACATCTGGCCCACATCATGCTCCTAGGCACTCCAAAAAATGTGCAGCAGATGTCAAAACGGGCAGAAGAACATTCAGATCCTGGGGAACATGTGGGTGTTGGGTGTGCTGCTCTGCTCAGACCAATTGGACATGCTTCAGGGAGCCTAGGGCCTGCCAGCTGCCTGCCTTTGGCTTTCCAGCAGGCTGCCACATGAGAAGAGGTGGGGGATAGGTAGGCCATGGTGCTGGTTAAAATCTAGCCAGGCTCAGAGCATCACTCAAACAGTTTTCATTTGACAAGGAGGTGAGGTTTGTGTGGTCCTTGCCTGTATTATGGTGGGTCTGAAACAGACAACCTTGACTTCCTACAGCATTTTCTCTCCAAAACCTGTGCTTGAGAAATTCAGAGTTTTCTAGTAAGAATAAAGCTGGGCAGGCGTTCCAGCAGACCCTGAGAAGAAAGGCCATGGTCTATTGCTTTACTTAGAGGCATGCTTGTATGTCCATGTGGCCCTGTTATCCACATGTGGGGTGAAGGCTGAGCAGGAAGGACGTTCTTCTTGCCTGCACATGCTGTGGCATCTTGTTATGGCACAGAGTGCCAGGGCATCGCAGCCCCTGGGTCCTCTCTGCCTCCCTTTCCCAGCATCAGAGGATGGTGAGAGCCACTGAGGAACAAGGCATGTGTGGTGATGGGTTATGGGGGGCCTGAGCCCCCGTAGTCCTCGTGGAAAGTCCAGGTCTGGTACATCAGCCACTTCCCATGGGACTTCACATACTACTGCTAATGTAGCACCTGCTTCCCAGAAGTGCCTTTGTGCTGGCACCAGACAGGGTGCCTGGGCATGCAGCTGTAACTCCACACACACTGCATTTATTTCAGATTAAGCGGCTTTTCACTCCAGTTGCTTCTTCCCACCCTCCAAATCTCCCAGTGCTTCTGCGGGAAGTCTAAGCCAGCATCATGCAGCCTTCAAGCCCAGGGTCTGCATGCTCCTCTGGGACTCTCGCTCCTGGAGCTGAGCTCTCTAACTCAGTTGCTCCTGCCATGCAGTTTGTGTGTTCGTGGCAAAGGCCAGCAGATCAGGCCACTTTCTAACAGGGGAGCCAAGAAAAAGCAATGCTTTGCACAGGCTTTTGAAACGTGCATGGAAGGGGAGTTTGCTCGTGATTAGCTCCAATGAATTTTAGCCTAGTGAGGAGCTGGAGGAAAGTCACTGACCTGTTGTTCTAAGCTACCTGCAGGTGTAGAGCATTTGGAGGTCATTCATTAAAGGCAGTGCTGGCTACACACATGCTTGCAAATCTGCACCCACAAACCTCCAGTGCTGTTCAACATCGCACCCCAAATCTGAGACACAGGAAGCATTAGGGCACTCATGGACCAGCTTTCCAGAAATAAACAAATGCTGCTTTGTCCACATCTCCCCTCCTGTGTTTCAATCTGCTCTGAGTTAATAATGCGTGTGGGGCTTGGGATGAAACTGATCTCTCCAGCCCATGGCACACGGAAAATTGAATCAGAAGCTGTAGGAACTTGCAGAGAGCAGGCAGTCTTTTTCCTTCCCCCCAGCAAAATTACCCCATGATGCCCCACTAATTTCACTACTTCATTTAAGTCTGGAGTCCTAAAGGGCTGCCTGTTTCCTCACTGTGGTTAGTGACCTCAGGCCTGGAAAAAAACACAGAGACTGCAATTTGGAGGAGAGAGCAGGAGTTTTCATTTCCCCCCACCCCTGTACAACTGGGCACCATCACTAGCAAAGTCCTTGACTCCTGTTAGAGAGCAGAGCGACCAGAGCCAAAGCCCTCCACCAGGTGCTGGACAGACCAACACCCTTATGGACGGACATTGCTCTGGTCTCTAAACCACAGCACGCTGCTGTAATGTCTCTCCAGTCCAGATGATGCTAATTAAGCGGTAGTGCCTGGATGTAACGTGCTTCCTTATGTCTGAGGTAGTAATGGTGCTCAGCAAAGGCATGAAGCAATTAATCCATCCTCAGGTGTTGCCCCCACAATAAATCAATAGCTATTAAGGATAATTTATCCCATTTTTAACAGTCACAGTTTTCCCCATTCTGAATCTTGATTTTATATTACCAGCCTGCAGTGGGGCTTATTAAACCACGGTGCTTTTGAACTCGGAAGAGAAAGAAGGTGGGTCTTCTAATGCCTTTCACAGTCACTTACATCAAGACGTGCATTACCTGTTGTGTGCACATCTGCAAATGTTCACCGAGAATCAGGCTTGGAGAGACCAGAGCATCAGAGCCAACACCATGTGTGCAATGCTAGGATGTATTTAGTCTTGGGGAGCAGTAAGGTGAAAAGGGTGGCAAGATCAGAGAGATCTGTAAGAACCCTCCATTTGCCTCCTCCATCCCTCATGCCAACTCAGAGGAGGCTCAGCAGGAGGAGACAGGGGTTAATGGCACAACACATGGAGTCTGAAGTTACTGCTCTGCTGCAGACTGTGTGCTCTGTTGTAGCAAGTCCCATAACTGCTCCGTCCTCCTCTGCCCCTGGGGACAGTGGCATACCTGTGGTTTCGTATGAACACACTTGAAAGACTGTGAGGTGTTACAGCACTATCGTGGTCACACTGGCATTTCAACAGGAGGCAAGTGAATGTCGGAATTGTCAAAGGACAGAAAGAGCAGACTCCCAAGGGATGCCCCCAGTACCACTGAGCAGAACATGGGGCCTCTTCGAACCAGCCCCCAAAAACTCTTTCTAAGCATCTCAGACATACAGGTTACTCTGCACATGGAAGGAAAACCCAGGCAGTTAAAATCCACTTGATCCCAGAAACAAAAATAGAAATTAAAATAAATAGACTTTGAAATGTCTCTAGTACCTTTACCTGCAGAGGGTTCTTTGTGCTTATGGCAATGACATGATACTTGTAGTAACACAGCTCACAGCTCCAGCATCCTCTCTCGCTAATCCATTTGATCAGACATGGCTGGTGCGTGCACTTCACCGATCCATCGCATCGACACGGGCTCAGCAACTCCCCCTGAAAAAGAGAAACATCAGTGAGGCTCCCTTCCTCTCACAGGCACGGCACAGCATGGCATGGCAGAAGCTCCATCATCCACCTATTTGCTCTTTGTTCCTTTTTATCTGGTTTGGCTTAGGTAATCATGCTGCCTCCACCTGGTTTCCCTCTAATAATTCTTGGCTGATGTGAACAGGGATGTAACAGTCTCAAATACTTGGGTCCTACATTTTTTTGTGGAAAGAGACAGATGGGTGGATAAGAGAGCCCTAATACCACCACTGAAGAAAAAATTACATGAACACAACTCTTACTAGACACCAGAGGACCCACACTAGACCACAGCCATCGGACACAGCTCTGCTGGCAACCAGATGCAACTGTTTCATTGCTTAGGTTTCTGTCTCTCTGATACCTATTTTAGAAAGCAAGGTTGGTGGTGGGGATAGCTACTAGACAGGCTCTGCTGCAGACTGGTGTCCCACTCAGCCCAGGGTGGCTTCCTCAAGCCCAGGCAGGCAGGAGGGGGAAGGCAGATGCTGCAGCCCTTGGTCTTTCTGCACAGGCTAGCTCATGCCAGCCGTGGAGGTGCCACTCCTCCCCGGGAGCTGGACTGAGCCCAGCGCCATGCGATACCTCCCAGGACTTGCCAGACAGTGGGCGTTTGCAGCGCTAGACACAAGATTCTCCTTCCTGGTGCTCCTGGACTGAAAGGGACAAACCTGACTACGGGTGGCAGATGTGTGTTTTGGGTCCAGGTCTTTGTGTACCCACAGCCCACCAGGGAAAAGGTCCTCAAATCTCACCCCCTCCCATCCACTGCCCCCAGTCTGTCCTGAAAGTGAGTCATACTGATGCATAGCTTGTAAGGCTGGCTATTTCCACCCTAGAAGCAAGCATGATGGAGAACAAATTGTGTCCTGGCTTGTGACACACAGATATTTACGAGTGGTGGCCAAAACACTGAACCTCCTGGCTCACTCCCTTGTTTCTGGTATAGCTTTAAACATGATATCCAGGAAAACCCAATATTATTGTGATCCATCTGCTATCATCCTGTTCACAAGGGGACTAAATTCCTCTCTGCACGCACAAGCTTGGGAGCTCATTTTACAGTCATTTGCCATCACTTACTTAGGGAAGAACAGAGCCGTTATATTTTACTCCCCACCTCTTAGTGATTAGAAGTCACAGTATAGACCCCCAATAGTGTATTTAGCTGTGCTCCAAGCCATAAAAGCTTTTAAAGGCAGAATGAGAATATCTACAGGATGGGGAAGGCTGACATCATACATTCAGGGTTGGGGAGAGGGTATTTCCTCTTAGACCCCTCGATCAGCCCCATTATCACCATGATGGAGTACCAGGGTAACAGACCCTCATGTCTGAGGCTGCTGGACAGTAAAAGACAGCCATCCCATCTGCCTTGGGTTAGGAAACCAGATCCTGCTCCTGCTAACCCTGATGGGAAATTGTCTTAGCTTTCAGGACCTGAGGAACTGAGCACCATGCTGGGCAAGAGTGATCCCTTTTTTATGAAACCTAATGTAAACATGTTAATCATTTCATTTGCTTCATTTAGATGACCTAAAAATGTCATCCACAACATTTTAGAAAAACAGTAAATAACTGTTTACATTACTAAACCAGGCTCAGGTCTACCTGTCACCGTTTTTTCACTGCACACTGGAGGGGTTGCAAAGGGAGAGGGGGAGCAAGGAAGGTTGCAGGATCTGTGAACCTTTTTCACCTTGAAAGGTGTGACAGGATAAGCAGAAGGGAAGCAGGGAATGATTAGAAGAGAGGGAAGTCCATGTGGGAAGGAGCACTGACATTTGGCAACTCTGAGGTGCAGTTTGCGGGGTGCAGGTTCAGCTATGCCTGTTTGTGCCCCTTGCTGGGACTGGTGTGGGAAAGTGCAAAGGGTGATAAGGAACTGCGTGAGCATGTACTGCCAGCCAGGATGCAAAAGGGGAGGGATCAGGGCTTGGCACTGCTCCTCCGCTCCCCTTCCACACCAAGAGCGAGCCTGGTACAAGGACCACTGCTCTGTGCCTCTGGACTACTCTCATCTCAGTCACTGATGCTTTATTTTCTCAACAGCTTCACTCCTCAGCAGACAAGTGTGATCCCAGCACGAAAGAGGTAATGCAGAAACATCCCAGCTATACAGCTTCCCTGCCTCACTGCACACCAGGGTCTCTGCAGGGCTCCTGCAGAAGGGAGCAGGAATTAAAAGCAACAGCTTCCAGGAGAAGGCAGAGGAGAAAAGCTGTAGCTGGAGCCTGGACTCACATTGGCTTCTTGGACTTTGGAACGAATGACTCTATGAAATCTGAGCTTGTCTCTTCAAAGCAAAGAGATGTTCATAGATGTCCTACACCTCCTCAGGGACCCTGTCCCCCTTTTCTAATTGGGACTCTCCACCCCAGACAGTCCTGTCAGCTCCTGCAAGAGCTCAAGACTCAACTGCAGAGATGAATCCCCCAGTTCCTTCATTTTTGCAAATCCAGCAAAAAAACTAATTTATCATATTTTCTCCAGCCATGTGAAATATTATATCCTTGCGTGCAGCGCACAGCTATTTTTGCATACTGTGAAGCCCAATTCTGTCCACAGCAGGCATTCGTAAAACACTGCCACATGCACACACGCGCACATGCACTTCTGTACCAGCAGAAAAATAAACACCGGGGGCATATTAAAGGAATAAATCCTTTGTACAGCAAAGGAGAAGGACTCTCATTGCTGGCTGTACAGTGAGCTCAAGAATGGTCCATAGGCTGTGATACACATGAAGGATTTGCTGCACAGAGACCTCTACTAAAAGCTACATACACACAAAAGCAGGCCCAAAATGAGGTGCAGATCACAGCAATTAAAGATGGAAATTAAATCCCCACGCCAGTTTCTGTAGGTTTGTAGAAGATGGCTCTGCACAACATATTCTCCAGTGCTTCAAACAACAGCATTCTTACCAATTTCCTTTAGGGACTACTCTCCAAAGACCCTTTGAAGAGCCTACTTCTCAACACTTATTTTTGCAATTTTCTTTTGTAGAGTTACATCCCATCACTCAGATCAGACTAATCAGCATTTCTGCTTTGTCAACAACTAGTGGAGAAATGCTCCCTGGCTGCAAGTTTAATTCTCGGCTTGCTCAGTACCATCTTGCTCCCTTGAAACAACCAAGTGGGCTTTGGACTCAGGGCACCTGCCTTTTTTTTGTTGTTATCCAAGTCTATATCGGGGTTCATGTCAAGGGTGGAAAACCAGACTTAAAAAGGGAAGGGTGCTCTGGCTTCAACCATAACCCTCTCAACATATGGATGAAATACTCCTCCCTATATTTAACTCTTCCGTACTTCTGGGAAGAGTAATGTATTAAGCAGTTATATATAATATTCCTCCCTATTTCTGGCTGTGATGGGAGCTTGTCTCTAGGACCAGCAAGGGCAAGGACAGACTGAACTGGCTTTACCCTGAGGACGAATTGGGAGCTCAGGTCTGTTCCAGCTCTGTCCTCTCATAAATTCCCAATCTGTGCCCGTTGCAATACATCAAAGTGGTTAATGATTAACTGGGCCCTGCTATTTTTAAGCCTACTGGGAGGAGTTCTGAGAAAGGATGGGAAAAAAATATTGCCAGCGCGCAGTTCTGATGCGCAGTATATCTAGGGAGAAAATAACAACATCAGCAACAGCGTCACCCCAGTTGCGTGCTGGTGTCAGTGTTTCACCTGGCTGTTTTGTCTGTCATTTATCAGTGCTGGGAGCCCATCCACACACTGCTTCTAAGGTTGCAGCTGCTCACCCACCAGCAGGCAATCATGGGATGTGCTTCCCAGGCCTGTTCTTTTAAGTAAAGTATAGCAAATTTGCCCAGCCAGTCTCCTTTGAACACGGCAGAGCTGGGGATGATGGTGGCATTGGGCCGGCCAGGATGTGGTCTTCTGGGCTCTCCCAGCTCCAGCTGTGCTGACCTACGTCTGCTGCCTGGACTGCTCCCGAGCACCAGATCAGCTGGAAAAAGCCACGGTAGCAATATCCTGCTACCACAGCTATTAGTAAACGTTCTGAAAACCCATGCAAGCTGTACAGCAAATTGTGATAGCTGATGGTGATCTTAACACCTGCAGTTTTTCCTCAACTGTGTGTCTTCCCTGCTCAGGTGTGTAGTCTCAGTCATCAGCATCACCCACAGGACCAGTGCCCTGCACCAGAGCAGGGTAGTGAGAAGCTGAAAGTTGTCCACATCACAAGGGCTACCATCTCTCTCTGGGTATGCAGTGTTTTACGAATGCTCACGGGAGTAGCTGCATGCATGGATCTGACTGCTAGCATTTATCTGAGTTTGTCTTGTTTGGAAAAGGAAACCAAGAATATTTAATTTCAGGTCTTCAACTGAGTCTCCTAAATACACTTAAATCTTCACATTGAATTTAAATGCAATGGGAAGTTTTATTATGGCAAATAAACGCCAAATTATTTCTATGTTAGGAACATAATTACAGAGGAATTATGTCCAATGACAAAGAGAAACCCATTGTTAAAGAGCTGGTAAACTTCAATAAACATGTACTAATGATCACTCTGTCTTCACACACACTTAAAAGAACTGCCCCGCCATCCTTTTAGACTAAACACACACGTTACTATCAGCATCTCAAATGCTTCCCATGAGTACCTTCCTGCATGCAAGCACTGTGCTGGTCAGCAACAGATAACAGGGGACATGAAATAATTAGCTATGAATATACATGTATGTATATGGCATGAAACTCTCCAGCACTGGAGGAGATTGATGCAGAGTGTGTACCCAGACAGGAGTGGGCTTGTGTCTCCTGTGGTGTTGGGACAGCACAGGACACGGTTATGTACAAGGCTCTGTGGTGGGGTGGCATCTCCCCAGGCACCCTGGCAGCAATTTGCTGAGACCTTCCTTGGGGGAAGATTCCCCGACTGGGCAGCTCCCTAAAACCTGGGGAATCTATAGGAAAATCTCTGTGTGTGATTATA